ATAAAAAATTGTGATTCAAAAAATTGATATTTAAATTTTAAAATATTTTTTGTGAAAAATAGTATTTCACTATTATTCCCAACTTTAAAACTTCAAAAAGGGGATTGAGATGGGGGTTACATTATTTTTCAGCTTTTTTATGAGCCCGATCATAATACAGGCGTCCTAGTTCTAGAGGCAGTATTATGGCCAGTCCTGACCAAACCCAGTTCAAAATATCTCAAATAGTTAAAAAAAATTAATAGGCAAATTGAAGCGAGTTATTTTTTTTTCTTTCCAATACATCAAAGTAAGAAAAAGGAGACACTCCAATATTTTTTAGAAAACAGTTGAATTTATTTTAGAACTAATTTTTCACTTTTTCTATCTCTTTAATTCGATATATCGTCTGTTACCCAATAAAGATATTCGTGATTATTCTTTAGACTCTATGAATTCAAAAAAAAAGGAATTGTTGAAATCATATTACAATACAAATGTAAAAAAACTTAAAAAAAAATTGTGGTGAAATTAATATTTTTGTGAAAATTTCTATTTATATTTGAATGATATTATTTAATAATTCTATTTAAAGAAAATATCAAATTTTTCTTCCTAATTTTGATTAAAAATCAAGTTCATTAGTGTTTTTTTATTTATTACTAATAATTTTTATTGTCCTGATATAAAATATACAATTTACTTTTTCTATTCCTATTATATTTGCTGTTTAACTACTGATCTTAATTTCATAAAATTTTATTTAAGATTGTTCTCTTTTTACCCTAATTATATGAGATGATTTCTTAAATATTTTATACTTTTAGAATTTCTTTTATAGGAATGTAGAATTGCAATTAAGAATTTTAAAATATCTGGCTCAAATCTTTTATAATATGCATATAAAATAACACTAACAAAAGGATAACTCAAAATTAAACTAATCAATAGTATGATTGTTTGAAGGATGGCTGAAATTTAATAATTATATGACTAATCACATGTGTATTTTATAGCTGCTAAAAATATTGCACAAGAACAAAGCTAACTAGTTTTTAGATCTAGTGAATTAAATCTATTGAGGAGATAAGGTTTATATTTTTCAGTAAAAAATTAATAAACCTATAAGCAAAATCCGAATAATGAAGCTTTCAATAATATTTGAGTATCAAAATTAATGAGAACTATGATAATAATTATTTTCTTCCAAAATCTTATCCATTCCCAAAAATAGTTATTTTATGTATATTCATTATATAAATGGCCAAAATGCCTTTTATATTTAAAATTGTTAAGCTAATGCTTCTTGGATTAAAGGAAAATAAATAATGAAAATGGTAATATAAATCCTATTAATGACAATCCAGGCAATATAAATGTAAATATCCATTAATAGTGATTATTTGTTCCATACATTAATGATACGTCACCTTATATATAGCTAACTTAAGAAATGTTCCTAACGGCTAAAATAGAAAAGAATCTAATTCTAAATAATAAATTTACGAGGTAATCAAAGATGCGTAATTTTAAATATATAAATTAAGAACAGTAATGGAGATAATTCTGCCTCTATGTTTATAGGATGTTAAAAATTGTAATAGTGAAGATGCTGATTGGACTATTATTATTTGACATAATAGCAAACATATGGTCACTATAATTTTACTATAAATTAGTTCGATTCCTTCTAATTCAGATATAAAGCAATCAAAAAAATTAGCCATAAAAAATGAGGTGTCAGTTGATTATTTAATAATACTTAATGAGAATGAAAAATTAATGTTAAATGTTAAGATGAGCGAAAATATCCATAAATAATTTAAATATAATTTAAGTAAAATACTTACATGATCTAAATAAATGTATTATATACCTTAGCCTAAGTTAAATAATATGTCTGCAAATTTTTATCCTAATTTCAACTATGTAAATAAAAGGTTTGATTTTTCAACGCTTTTTATCGTTAACAAGGTTGAGAACATAGCCCTAAAATATTAATTTATCATACCAAATTGCTATCAAAAAGAAAGCTAATAACCTTTTTGCAAACTCTTAGCATTATGAACAATCCTATTACTATTAGTTTTTAAAGAATTGCCCATCTCCTTTAATATTAAATTTATCACACTCCTCACACAAGCCTCCAATATATCCTATATTGCAAGTATCATCACCTACAGACCAACCACCCAAACATTAATTAGTGTTTTTATAGCAGAGTTCAATATTGTCAGAAATATATTTAGGTCTCCAGTAACCAGATTTGAGTTTAATTTAATTTGATGTAATGGCTTCAAACTTATTTTTATCAAATATGGAACATTTTGTAGCATTATAAGTCACAGAATAAAATCCCTAATCTGATTAACATTTTAAACAAATATCCTATATATAAAATTCTCCTAATTAACATAAGAAAATGTTGACCCTCATTTTATAAAAGAAGATTTTTTCTAGGTATTCTGTTTTGCAACCAATCATTATTTCATATATTTTATCATTCTATGAATAGGGGTCAAAATTGAATTCTATTTGATCTAAACTAAAACTATTTGTTTCAGCACTAAAGGATATACTTTGAAATTGATTAGTTTTTAATATTTACTGTGATTAAATATCGAGTACATTTTAAGTGACATTGCATATTGAATTAAGAAAGTTTTATTATATTTCATTCATACTATTTTTAAATATTATAGAAATATCTGTTATGAAAGTAATGTATTCTTTAATTTAAGGATTAAATAGTTTAAAATTAGATACTTTTTAACCACTTGGTAGAATTAGGTAATTTGTTCTTTTAATATGATTCTAAGATAAGAAATTGTATGGTTTTAGTGCTAGAATATAAATTGATTAATTATCAATTACATATTCCATAGAATGCATTTCTTTCTAATTAATCTATAAGCCTAAATGTGAAGGTAATTCATTGATATTATTTGAGGAAATAGTAGCAAAATTATATAAATTAAGTGATTTAAAGAAATTTATTTGATTTAAACTGCTATTCCCCTACAAAAATATACCACCTCCTTCTTGGGCTAAATTCTAGCAAATTAATGTTTAATTTAGTAAAAATCTATTTGAGTTTACATTAAAATATATTCCTCCTCCTTTTTCAAATGCAAAATTATTAATTATTCTAGAATTTAGAATAGAAATTCTTAAATTTTACACCTATACTCCTGTTCCTTTAGTTCCATTATTTAACATAAAGTTTAAATTTTACATTTTAATTTATCTATCTAAGTTATTATCTGAAATTGCTAATATACACCCATGTTTTTTAATGAGGTTTCTTATACATGCAATTTCATTAATTTTAATAAATTTTATTTCTGTCAAATTAAAAAACATTAAACCATTCCAACAATTTTAACAATCATTATTTTCAATTAAAAATCTTCTTATCAACATTTGAGTTTAATTTTTAAAGCTGCTAAAATAAATCAAGGAGCCCTTTTGCTAAGAATTCAATTACATCTGCTCAAAAAATATATTGATTGATTCTAATCCTTCAGTTGGAATTTTTACAAAATCAATTATTAAGGTACATTAATTGGTATATGTAATATTTAGATTATTTCTATAGTAATTTAGTTGGTATTTATTGACCTAAAATGTATTTACATTTCTTATTGTAATGTTGTTCATTATCAGAATTGATTATCGCACATTAATTTAAGAAAATTCTAATAAATGCAATGAATAAAATGTTTATATATTGAAAAACTAGGAATCTGAAATTGTGATTTATTTATAATCAACTATTTTAATAATAGAAGATAATATTAATCCTTCTATCACAATTCCTTTAAGTGAAAAAAATCCACCAGTTAAATGTATTATTGCATTATTTTCTAAAATATTTTAGATTTCTACAAGGGTAACTCCTCCTAAAGATTATAAATAATTTATAAATTTTTTTTCAGATTAAATTAGATGTAAATTTTATATTGACACTTGGCTTTTTTGAGGATTATTAAAATTAAATTCAATAGATATTAATTGATTCGAAAGTGAAAAGCAATTATAAGCATATATATTTTTTAATTAAATGTTATTCTTTATAGATGATGGATAGATTGAAAAGATTGACGATGATATTCTATTTTATATGTATCTTAAGTTTAAATTTTCAATTTCAACTGATAATAAGCTTTTTTGAGCATTAATTGTTATTGCTCCATCAGCTTGAGATGTATTGATTAATTAACTTTAAGCATTTTCAATAACACAATTTTTTATAATCACAATTCCATCACCTTATAGATTAATATTGAAAATTAAACTACTTGATGCAATAATATTACTAAAGAACCCATTAATAAAACTCAATTTTGATGCTTAAATTGATAGAGCTCCACTAATTGATTCTATTTTAAATGTATTCTAGATTATAGAAATAATTTGAATCTAGTTGAATTCTTTCTAAATTTACAGTAAATAATATTGATTCCATAATTCTGAATTTAAATAATTATGATTTACTGTTTAAAAGTCTTATATATAAAGTTCAAATGTAGAAATCGATATAAATGAATTTGAAGAATTGGTTAAGACATTGTGAGAACAACTGATATTTTTAAGTGATATTTTACTTTAACCTGCATTAATCTACATTAGACTAGCAGAATTTTGAGATGGATCAATTTAGTATTAGTGAAAAATATTCTCTTAATAGACAATATTCTCTAGGGTCACAATTTGAGTAATTTCAGAATAAATATCAATCAAGGAAAAATACATAGTTTAACTGTATTTTATAAGAATATTTCCAATAAATGAAACATTACTAATACTTATATATTCAATTTTATTCAAAATAATCTTAGAATTAGATTGTATAGAAATAATTGAGAGGTCTGTGCTGAATTAATTAATTATTTTTATTTATTCCAAACTAATTCTCTAAAACCCTTAAACAGACAATAACTATGATTTTATTGCACTACTTTGGTAGCAATCAAATTTAAATGCAACTTTTTCTTTCTAATACTAATTTTCATAAATGATATTTTCAAATCTCAGATAAGGAGTGGAGAATAAAGAAAAAAACTTAAAATTAAAAGTACTTTTTAAGATGAAATCTTTTATTAATAAATTATGACAGTTAATTTAAAAAAGATATTAGTAATTTTCTTGAGAAATTGGAATGTTATCTTCAAATCTAAAATTGTTAAATTTGAAATAAACTTAATTTTACTCAAAACTTTATTCAGTAACGATAAGAGCAGAACTAAAAATTTTATTCTTTAAAACTATAAAATTTTGAATTCCTATTTCAGAATTTTTATCATTTGATGATAATTAAATTAAAAATTAAGTTTCTTAAATCAGATTATCTTCCAATAATATATCACTAAATAAAAAATTCTTACTAAAAGAAATAAATCTTGAAGCCATAATTTAACAGTGAAAAAGTAAAAGTTTTGTTATTTTTACATCAGAATTTCCATTACTATAAATAAAACTTGACGCTGTAAAAGAAGAATTCTGAATATTGACATTATTGATAATAATTTTTGCAAAATTACTGAAGCTAATATTTGATTGAATAACAGATGATGCATTAAATATACAAGAGTTAATCACTAGATTATCAATTATAATTTCCCTATTCAAATTTGAGAAAAACAACAAAGTTGTACTGTTTAATTTGCAATTTGAAATTTGCAAATTATTTATCTTAATACTATCTCCTAAATCCTCACTTTTAATTTAAATAATTATCGAATTTTTGAAGTTGATATCAAAAATATCAATATTGGATAACTAAAAATTTTAAATGCTCCCTCCATAGATTTATAATATTATGGGTGTTGATTGATTAGAATAAAAACTAGTGTTTGTAATCATAAAATCAAAAGATTAAGCTCTGTTACTAATTATCAATTCAAATTATTTTTCAAGAAGAAACTTTACATTTTTAATACTAATTGAATCAAAATTTTAAATCTTGAATTATGTATCAAAAATAATGGGTTTAAACTCTCCCTCAATTCTCAATTTTACTTATTAAATCGAAAACACTTTTTCTTTAAAATAATTCGAAATTACAAAATTTTCTTTTTACATTATAGGGCAAAAAAGATGAAAATGAAAGATTAAAGTAATCTCTTTCAAACCAATATTATTAAAATATGAATAATGCTATATATCGTTGAAATCTACTAAAGAATAAGACTAACAAGATTGATTAACCTAAATTCTAATTATAAAGTACCTAGTACTCAAAGAGTTAGTTGCAGTTATCATTAAAACAATAGTAAGCGAATTATGAATATTAATCGATTGTAGCTCTTGGTAAAGGAATTTTTTTTAAGCACTTATAGGAGAAAATAGTGTTTTCAGGAGTTAAAATAAAATATGGATTAATTTACTATTTAATAAATGATTTATTACCTTTATTTCTTCGATTGATCTTAATTCGCAAATTTAACATAAAGGAGGACATTAAATACACTTACCATCAATTTGAACTCGATTAGGTATTTAGTAGTAGTTTGAATCACATTTTTAACAGGAAAAAAAATTCCAATCTTCAAAATTTTTCTTGCATATTTAACAATTATCATCACAATATTTGTAGCAATTTGTATCAATTACTTGATATCCATCTTTACATTCCATCACAAAAATAGCAGTTCTTTCTACATAAGTTTTATCAAAAATTGTAAGATTCTAAAATTTAATCCTGAAATCTTGAATAAACCATTTCCAAGGTTCTTACACTTTGGAGTTCAATTCAAGGCAAATTTTAGAATTTTAATTGTTACATTAAGAGCAAATCCCTGAACCTGATTATGCTGTGTAACCATCTTCACAAACCTAGCATTTTAATATCAATTCTGGAGTTTAGAAGCATTGCTTGCAATTTAAAATGCGTTGTTAACAATTTATTATTGTTGGAGCAATGCTAAAATCATCTAATTTTGATAGAGTGCAAATTTCTTGTCCATCTTATTAAAGATAAGATCTGGCACAATTTGGATTAGAAGGACTCTTGAAAATGCATAATTCTAGTTCAAAGTTATAAATGAAACCATTTTAACACTAAGCACATCCTGTTCTAATGTCTTCTTCAAAAATCAAGTAATTAAAATTCTAATCAAGAGTTGTTTTTGCTTAATCATTTGCAAAATAACTAAAGCAATATTAACAATATTTTATTGGGCAAGGAGTACATTTCTATTCGAAATTGATAAAGTTTGGAGCACTACAATATAAATGAAGAATAGTTAGGCCAGTTGATGGATTTGGAGATACATTTGTTTCTTGAATATCACAACCAACAAGACAAATATCTAATTATGATTCATCAGGTGGAGGAGAATTATAACATACCATCTCTTCCTTTTTTTGATATATATTTCCTTCATTATCTGTATATAATGAAGTTAAACAACAGAATTTATTTATCCAATCATTCATATTATATAGGCATTCAAGACATGTGATGACATTATCAGTTATGGTAGAGGGACTAATTGAATAATACAAAGAAATAATACCATCTTTAACAAGCACTATCTTATTCATAATAGCCATATTTACATTTATTATTTTTACTTTCATCAGGAAGTATAATTATATTGAGACTTTCATGACTAATACAAAAATTATCTTGATCCATTGTTCCATATTTGCAGATACATTACTTAGAATCTGGAACATAAATTCTATTTGAAGATTCCAAACAAGATAAACAATCATATTTCGTTGGACCATCACATTCCTTGCAAGTAGGATGACAATTTTTTATTTGATTGATGGTTTTTGGGCAATTATAAAATTTAAAGCCTTATATTTTAATTGTTAAATATTGTTGGGAGACTTACAATTTATTTCCTATGTGCAATTAAAATTTGACAGAACCAAATTATTTCACCTCTTAGTTGAACTCAAGTTTTTCTATGTTAAATTGTTCATAAAATGTTATTGAAATATAAATTATCGCCTCTTATTTCCAAACTAACAAATAATGCCAACTTTTTATATCACTACCTATATCAAAAATATTTTTAATTAAATTAGGATTTTTTGAAAAATCAATATTTATTAAGGGAAAGACATAACTATAAGTAGTGACAATAATCTAATTACCATTAGTAGCTATCTTATAAGTTAATGTAAAAGCTGACAAATTATCATCTATTAATTATGGATTAATAAAATTTCCAGAGAGTTTAATTAATTGATAATAATATTCATCTTCAAAAATTTTAGTTTCAACAATTTTAATCCAACCTGATAGAAGAAATTCTTAACAATTATTGTATTCAGAGAGATAATAAAATTCTTATTGCTTATCAATTATTGAGTCAATTATAGTAGAATTTTTATTTTAAGAACAATAACAACCATTAATTTCATAACCCGGCATCTTAGTATATGATAATTTACAAACAGAAATTTCACATTTATACTCATCCCTCAAAATTAATCCTGGAAAATATGATAATTTTTTGTTGATTTATGTTTAAAGCTTTTGGTTATCATTTACTATTAAACCTCCTCCATAAATTAAATTCAAATAGACATCATAAAATGGGAACTTAACCAATACTTCAAATTATTTTGTAAGTTCTCCTGAGAATTAGTAAAAAATATTGAATCTACTTTAAGCAGGAATCGCACAAAATCCAATATATTGCCATCTTGATTCAAGAAATTCTTCATTAATTTGTATTTTATGAAAATGATCCAAGCCGGTGTTGTCAATAAATTATAAGTATGTAAATACTGTTTTTATCTCGTAATCAAGACACAAATATAATAAAAAGTTTATCCTTTCTGTTTTCTATTCTTTTGTATGTAGAAGATGAAAACAATTACTATCTAGAATTCCAATATTTCCAATTTGAGTTGTATTACTTAATGGAAGATATTGAAACCAGATACCAAAGTATGTATTATATATTTCTATTGGATTTGGTTTTATTTCAAATATATTTATAGGGTAATTTGGCTATAATTTGAAAACGGCTTCAAATGTTATCCTTAAAGCAATGATTATTATTAAAGAAAGAGAAGTTCCCCTCACCATAAATTAATAATCAAAAATAAGATTTAATCAAAAATAAAAAAAAGCATCCTTTTAAGTTAATCAAAATATTTTTTTTTTCAAAGTTATGAATCAGGCTCGCTTTATCAAAATTTTATCTAACACATTAAATACAAAATAACAACATCACTAAAATCTGTTAACCTTTTCATAATAAAAAAAGAAAAAAAAACTAAATAATTTTGAGAATTACTAGAGATTTTTTAATAAATGTTAAATGGAAGGTTGATTTTAGATTTATATAAAAGATCACTATTGTAAATGAGTTTACCTAGGTGTAAAGAGAAAAAAACTAGAAGAATTTTTTGTTATTCATTCATCGTTTTCTAGAAGACTAGGTCATGTATAAAAAATTTGAAAAATTTTATTTATCTCTTTTTTTATGAATCAAATATGAAGAGTGTGCAATATATTCTTTGCAATAATAAGAGACTATATCATAATAATCAATCAATATCTGTTTATAAAATTTGCAGAATACATTTATGGATAGCCTTTATTGTCAATCCTAAGGCAAGATAAATAGAAATGATTGAAGATAGAAGTAATGAGCATCTCGAACCAATATGATCTGATCTTCTAATTGATTGCTTTTATCGTAAGCTATTTAATTAATGAAGTTTCATTTCAGCGACTTGTCTAATAAGTATATTTGAATTGCTCTTAGAATTGAGTTGTCCGATCAACTTTAAAATTATTGATATTCACATTTCTTAATTTTGAGGGGAGGCTTATCACATTAGCAAAAGTATAGGTATGAATTGCTATGGGTTTTGTATATTTTAGAAATTATATTATGGAAATATGATTAATTTACGTAATATTATACAAGTTTTATTAGTTTCTATCATTTATTGTTCAAAAGTAATACAATTATATCAATAAAATAATCATTAATAGTAGAATTTCCAAAACTAAACGAACAATAGTGGATGGACTTTTCTTTATAAAAAATTCTTCCAAAAATTATATAGGATTGAAAAATAAATTAGTTATTCTTAAAGAATTTTTAGTGCTTTTGTTTCGGTTTAGAGTTCAGGTAAGAGGGAGGTTATTTAAAGAATTTCAAGAAATCCTATTAAGTATTTTCCAAAATTTCCAGATTACAAAGAATGTTCAGTAATTTTTGAGTTAGAAGGAAAGCATAAAGTTATAAAGAATTATTTTCAAGATTAATATAAGGAATAATTTCTCTATTCTACAATAACTTATCAAACCACTTATATACAAAATTATTGCAATACATATGAAATAAAAAATAAATTCAGTAAATATTAGGATCAAAGTGAAATTGTATAACTTATATCTTTTTTTGTTAATAATGTTATTTACTCTCTCCCTTTATGGAACCTATATTCAAAATTACCTTTTAGAATTATTTAATGCTTCTAATTGGAATATTGAATTATCAAAATTGCATCAAATTATTTATCCCAATAATTATTTAATAAAAGGTAAATTTATTGAATAAATATAGGATGGTGTTTAATTATTAAAAAAATCTCTAAAACCCAAATTGAATTTACTTTAGACCTTATGGTGGAAATAAAAAGATTTTCTTTCTTAACCATGTTATATGGGTAGTTTTTATATGAATTGAGTTCAAGTTTCTTTACCCCCTATTTATAGTTATTAATGATTTTTGAAATTTATAATTTGAGCTTTAAATATGAAACAATAAAATCTATGTTTTATAATTTATAACAAAAGATAGATTTCTAAATTATACTTAAAATAATAAATATAAATGATAGAAAAAATTTGATGTTGACTAGTTTATTCTTCAGACTTTCATAAAGAAATAATTGATTTTCTANGCTATGGGTTTTGTATATTTTAGAAATTATATTATGGAAATATGATTAATTTACGTAATATTATACAAGTTTTATTAGTTTCTATCATTTATTGTTCAAAAGTAATACAATTATATCAATAAAATAATCATTAATAGTAGAATTTCCAAAACTAAACGAACAATAGTGGATGGACTTTTCTTTATAAAAAATTCTTCCAAAAATTATATAGGATTGAAAAATAAATTAGTTATTCTTAAAGAATTTTTAGTGCTTTTGTTTCGGTTTAGAGTTCAGGTAAGAGGGAGGTTATTTAAAGAATTTCAAGAAATCCTATTAAGTATTTTCCAAAATTTCCAGATTACAAAGAATGTTCAGTAATTTTTGAGTTAGAAGGAAAGCATAAAGTTATAAAGAATTATTTTCAAGATTAATATAAGGAATAATTTCTCTATTCTACAATAACTTATCAAACCACTTATATACAAAATTATTGCAATACATATGAAATAAAAAATAAATTCAGTAAATATTAGGATCAAAGTGAAATTGTATAACTTATATCTTTTTTTGTTAATAATGTTATTTACTCTCTCCCTTTATGGAACCTATATTCAAAATTACCTTTTAGAATTATTTAATGCTTCTAATTGGAATATTGAATTATCAAAATTGCATCAAATTATTTATCCCAATAATTATTTAATAAAAGGTAAATTTATTGAATAAATATAGGATGGTGTTTAATTATTAAAAAAATCTCTAAAACCCAAATTGAATTTACTTTAGACCTTATGGTGGAAATAAAAAGATTTTCTTTCTTAACCATGTTATATGGGTAGTTTTTATATGAATTGAGTTCAAGTTTCTTTACCCCCTATTTATAGTTATTAATGATTTTTGAAATTTATAATTTGAGCTTTAAATATGAAACAATAAAATCTATGTTTTATAATTTATAACAAAAGATAGATTTCTAAATTATACTTAAAATAATAAATATAAATGATAGAAAAAATTTGATGTTGACTAGTTTATTCTTCAGACTTTCATAAAGAAATAATTGATTTTCTACAGATATCAATATTAATTTTACTATACTCTAATTGATTTTTAGACAATAAACTTAAATAAGAAGCATATATATATAAAATGAGTAAATTATTTAAAAAAAATAAAAACTCTTATTTATTTTAAACTCAAGATAGTTAACAAGTTATTTTCTATTTTAACATTTAATTTTATATAGAATAATTAAGAGAATATGCAAATAAAATTGCATTAATGCTACAATATTTAAATTATCAAATTTTGATTACAACATCTATCCCTTATTGTTCTAATCTTCTAATCAGGTCTCTCTATTCATCTCTTGTAAAGCGTTCGAAGCATTAAGAAATATCTATAAAAACTTCCTTTGTATATTGATTTAGAGTTTGTAAAATTTGTCTTAGTTACTCTTTATTAAATTCACAATTAATTAAAATCATTTTAAAAAAACGGAGATTCTTAAAATTATATTCTTAAAAATCTAATTAAATATTATCAAAAGTAATATCAAGAATTTCCAATTAATGACTTCGTAAATTACTAGAAAATTAAAAAGTCTAAATAATTCCAATATTAATAATTGATGTCTTGAATAGTTTCAAATAATTGAATTTTGCAAATAATTATTCACAATTATTTAGAATAAGATTACCAGAAACTTCAAAATAAAATTCCTCAAAATTATATCTATCTAATTTTAAAAAATTTTCATTTATATTTAAATTTATCTCTATTTCTACCTTGCAAGAATTATTTGGATATTATTCTATTATTTAGAAATATGAGTATGAAAAAGCTATAAGAGTTTCTGTTCTCTTAACATCAAATTTCATTTAATGTTCATTTGTAGCTTCTACTTGGAGTTGTAAGAACTTTAATTTTTGAGGGCAATTTTTGATAATTACATTAATATCATCAGATATATGATTTGGATTTACTTCGTCTAAATAATAATTCAATTTTAATTGAAATAGTTCACTAGCTTATAAACATGTTATTAAATCATCTAATTCAGTTCCCATACAAAAAACTCTTTATGCTTAATCAATTTCTAAAATACTTTTGATACAAGCAAGTACATACTTAAATTAAGCTCGAATCCTTTTTTTTTTTTTGCCAGAATAATTAGAAAAATTTAATGTTTTCATATTAACTCTGTAAGTACAACTTTCTTTTAAATAATATTCATTTACTTTTGACATAATTGAGAAAGATTTAGGATATTCCAATAGTATTTGATTTGATATTTTGTTGAAATATTAAATAGATTCTAAGAATTAATTAACTGAAGATGTGCTTAAAATTAAACCTGGAATAAAAAAGTCTTTAATAACAGTTTCTAGTAGAGCATATATTGCATTAAAACTTAAATATATTTGTTGAGCGAATGACAAAGTCCATATTTAATTCGAAGTCTGAGTTGATAATGATAAAATATATATAAATAACTGAGGAATCCTATTCAAGGTGTCTTCTATATTTGCTCTCCACATCAAAGCTATATATAATGGCTATTCACTTCTTTATTCCGTTCTATCTTCTTTATCATTTTATTGACTGAATTACAATAATACTGAAGCGATATTGCCTTAAAATTTTAAGACATAATTTTTGAACTTGACATAAGTTTTAAAAATAAATTCTCTGCTTTTATTCTAATTTATTTTATTTTAAATATAATCTAAACAAAACCATAGGATTTCATACATCTTTACTGTATTTAATATTGTAAAAATTAGAATAACTGATAGCAATCTTAAATTTGAAAAGGTTTTAAATGCACGTTGATAAAATAATCCAAATGAAATTGGATAGAATATTACATTGAATGCAGTTAAAGCAACTAAGACAGATTTATATAGATCATATTCTTTAGTCAAATAGATCAGAGTAAAAATTGAAAACACGATATTGATAGAATCTGAAGAAAGTATGGTAATTATATCACAATGTTTGAAAGAATCCAAAAAATAATGATATTTTTTGTACAATTCCACCAAAAATCTTATATCACAAACATACTCTTTAAAACGATCTTCTTTAGTTATTCTATCAATACAATTTTTAGCTTCTTAAGCAATATTTTAAGGTTCTTTTGCTTAATTGTTTTGTTCGATTAAAATTAGCTTTGAAAATTATGCAGAAAGTTATATGTAACCATTATTAACAAATTAATTTTGTGGCAGTGCTTACCTATTAGCGATTATTTTTGGATTTTCAATAAATTTTATTTATTCGATTATCTCCCTTTCTTCATCAGTATTATATTCAAACCTTAAATCCTGAAGATTTTCGCCGCTTATATGAAAAAAATTTAATTTTTCCACACCCCTAAAAATACTTTCCAATTATGATAGTTTATCTTCTAACTTATATAAAAGACTTATATCTTTTACTTGAATCAATTTAAAGCAATTAGCTAAATATTATAATGTAACTTCATCATATTCATCAATGAAATGAAATTCAAGGTATTTATATTCTTTATATCTTAATAAGTAATTTATTATATATATCATGCATCTTTTCTTTTAATAAGGGCTGAAATTACTTGGATCAATATGAAAATAATAAGAATTAAAAAATTCCATTTATTTTAAATCAGATTTCAGTAATTGCTTTGTTTCTTAAATAAACTTTAACTTAATTTATTTTTATTTAAAAGGTATTTTTTTTTGCGTTTATCTATTATTTGTAGTGAATACAATAAATTATAATTCAAAAAGGTAGTAGATTAAATTAATTGTTAGTAATACAAAAATAATGATATTAAATATATCCCATGATCCTATTAATGTGTTAAAAAAGCCTTATATAAAAAGTTAAGGAATTGTTTAAATAGCCATAGTTATCATCATAGAGAGGAGAGCAACTCGATGGAATATAAAATTCCTAAAGATATTGACAGGTTTTTTTCTATCTTTGAAAAGCCTACACGGATTTCTTTATTTATCTTCTTAATTTAATAGCAAGTATTTATTAATTTAACTGAATGAGAATTATCTAATTGATTAATCTCTGTTATAATAAATAATAAATGGAGCTAATTTAAAATAACTTAATATTCCCATACCCATATAATATAAATAATTAGTTATTTCAACAAATATACTATTTTAAGCAAGATTTCTGAAATGATAAGTATATATCCAAGCTCCACTATGAATTGAAACACATAAAATTATAGATAAATTATAACTGATCTCATAGTATGCAATTTCATCATTAATGTTATTATATGAGCTGTAAATTAATGTAAGGATAAGTTCTAGAACATTTAAAAGGTATATCAAGACCTGAAATCCTATTTTACAATAATATTTAAAATTGCTTGAGCATTTCTTAATTTCATTTAACCGCGTTTCTATTAATTCTTAAAATTCACTCTTGTAATTCATTTCTTGATGGGGTTACCAATCTAATTGAGGGTCAGAAAGAGAACCAACAGCACTAAAATGTAATTGACTCATTTAATTTCTTTGAAAAACAAAACAATAATATCATATAAATAAATTCTTTCATTTAATTAACCAAAATTTAATTCTACATTAGAAAACTGTTTTAATTTGTTAAACTTATCAAAAAATATACTGACTAGAAGAATATATTTTCTAATTTTATTATAATTGTATAATGCAAGTAAAAGGGAAAGAAAGTTAATTTTTTTTATATTAACCTTCATATATCAAATTCTTTATTGAATCCATATATTTAGGATGAAATTTTATAGCGGACAAGAAAATTGAAATGTTTAATCGATTTATAATTTATGATTATCAAAAATAAATATTTAAGTAGAGAGTTATGATGGTTAATCAACTAAATAAATTATTTATACTGAATTATAATTTCAAATTTATTTAAAATAAGATTATAAATAATATGTACACTCTTATGAATTAAAAAAATCAAATGAAGTATGCAATTTTCCAATTAAGTGAAAAATAATTGGAATTATAAATGAAGAATTAAATAAATAGTTAAATAAATTAGAAATCAAAACAGTATATTATGATTTTTGATCATAACAATAATAAATGAATACTACTTAAATAAAAATAAAATAATTTAAATTAATTTTATATCTAATAAATTCTGATAAATATATATTGACAAATATTAAATAATTTAAGTTTTTATACTCCTTTTGAATTCTGAAACACGTAATAATTAAATTTAGAAAATGTCAACACAATAAGAATTACCAATCTTTAATCAATAGACTCCTTAACCATCAAGTTAAATATCAAAGGTTTAATACCCCATTTTAAGTAATGTAGTACCAGCAGCTTAATATATTTAATTGGATGATGTTTAATAAGCTGTTGCTGAGAAATCTGTTGTGATTGAAATTAATTCAGATAGATCAGCATTTCTGATAGAATACTATAAGAAAATATTACTCTAACATTCAATCATATTGGGATTATTCATACTTGGATTGACAAAATGGTTTAGTTCAATAGTAGTAATTCATCATTATTGGTGGAGTTACTTTAGATGGACTTGGTATGTTGTATTAGGATTGTTGATTGCTATAGCATTAGGTCTCCCAATCTTGAGAAAATATAGATGCATTGTAATTCCATATTGTTTATGAATTATTAGGTGTCTCAGTAATCAAAATTGTTCCATTTTCAAACAGTATTAATAGCCTTTCTTTTGATTGGAATAGCTGGAAATCAAAGAGGAAATAGTAATCACAAAACTGTAAATATTTGGATAATTTTGGTATTGGTGATTTTGATTGGTCATGATTTACTTCAAATTATTATTGTGAAAACTCAAAGAACTCATTACTACACTGCTTTAATGAAATTTGCAATCATGGGATCATTGGCATTAAATTTTATTGTAGGTTTATCAAATAAGAATCTTGACAGAGCATTTCCTATTTCTGAAATAATTATCATTTATGCTCTTTATTATTTCAATCAATTGAATGATTAATTATTGAAATAGACTCATGAATTACCAGAGGAATTATCAATTGTTGAAAGAATCCAATAGCTTACTTTGATTAGAAATTTATTTAATTAAGAGGCCAGATAGAATCAAATAATTGAATAAATACAAGACACTCATTGTGTAATTAGTAAACATTTAGTAATTGTGATTGGATCAAGTGTTGGATATATTGCAGTATTAGTATTGAGTATTGTAACTGGAAATGGGTTTTTGATATTTACATTGATTTTGGGATCGATTTCAATGTTGAGTGTGATTCTAGAAACCTAAGTTGCTTCAAGAGTATAAATTAATTAAATATTTTTATTAGAGTTTGAAACCAGAAGACTCCCATTATGCAGTTTGTTTGACTTATCTTGACATGGCTAGTCCCCTTAGATTATTATTGAGAAGCTTATTCAATAAATGAATATCAAAAAATATTTATAATCATACTTTCTTTGTTTTATATAATTAATCTTAAATATCAAAAAAGGAAATAAAATTATTTATATAAAATTGATAAATAAGTTATAAGACAGAGAATATAATTGATTTATTGAGGATGAGAAAATTAATAAATTTATATATATGTTTTTTTGGAAAGGATACCTAAAAAAGATAATGAAAATTCTTCTCTTGATGTCTAAGTTTAACGAAATGATAATTGAATGATTTAAATTGAATGTTAATAAAATAGCATATTAATCAAAAATATAAAATATCATGTTCTCTCTTAATTAAATTAGAACTCCGAAGTTTTTATATTGCTTGAGAAATTATAGAGTGAAGAATTAAATTTTAGTGATATAACTATTAATATTTACTTTGATTATTGCCTTTTTGACAATAGCTCTGGTAATTAATCGAGTAATAATTGAATCTGTAATTGAGAAGGTCTCACTATAATTATTGTAAAATATTAATCAAAAGGCTCTTCATAAACAATCAACTTATTTGGAATACTAAACCTACTTAACTTTTAATTTTGGCTTCAGTCTGCTTAATAAAATTAATAATGAAAATTTGTTTTTGCTTAAGTAATAAAATATTATGTTGGGCAATATGCCTTTAAGTTGTGTTGATTATAACATAAGAGAAAGACAACCTTTTCAATATTATCTACCATAATTTTGTTATTATTATGCAAATCATATTGATTTTGCATAAATTCCAAAAACACAAATTGATTAACATTTGATAGTTTTGATTTAAATGTTAAATGAATAATTATTGTTAATTGGTAATAGTGAACTGGAACCAACAATTTATTTAACATAATAAGGGGATGGACAATTTTTCGCCATTATTCCATAAAAAATGAGATATCCTATGTATAGACCAAAGGAGAGACAATGGTATAAAGATCATACAGCTGCTTTAAATGATAGCAAATAACCTGAAGTTATATCTGAAATTTATAGGAATTACGAAACTTAAGAATTCGAATTTACTCTCACTGTTTCATTAACTAATCCATAATTAGAATTTGATGGAGTTATAGCTTTGGATAGTAATTTCTAAGTTATTAAACCAAAAATCAACTATGATTAATTAAATATTTATCTGGTTGATTTAGCTGGTAGGATATTGATTTCAAATGTCTATCCAAAAATCAATTTTGTTTAAGAGATGAAGTTCTTTAATGACACCTCCATCACAGGATTTGACAATGAAGATTGGAATGAAATCCTTAAATAAATACTTTATTAGAAGGGAGAATCAAATTGTGAATATGCATACAAAAACTTTTGTAGATATAATAAATTATATGGGTAAGATTTATTTATACGAGGATTTGGCATTCACAATAGATTTTATCAAATAGTGTAAGCATATTCAAATATTATTAAGATTCGTAGATTATAAGTTCATGGAATAAAATGATTATGATACACAATAATTGAAATCAGAATTGTTAAGCTAAGCAACTGCTTAATTGATATATTATATTATCTATAATATTTCAGGTATTCTACTTTGTTGGATAATTATGCATTTCTTCTTAAGACCTTATTATGAATTAACTAAGTTATTTTAATAGACAACTCAAACTAAATTCAATTAGAAATATGAAATTGCTTTAAGGAAAGTCAAAATATTTAAGTAAAATAATCTAATACAAACTGGACTCGATAATCTCTGCAATACTTTATCTAAGATAAGATCAAAAAAATCAAGAGAGTGTCATTATATGGAAAATTACAAATATCCAAAGAATTTAGCCAAAAATGCTTACAAATTCAGATTTTATATTAAGCAATTTCCAAAAGTATTATTAATTTTTTAATTTTAGAAATCATAAATCTAATAATTAGAAAGATCAATTATTACAATATATGAGGAGATATTAGAAACTTTGGCAGTAAATAATGATGAATTCTACTTTAAATTGATGTGATTAGATATATTAGTTAATATTTCAATTTAACTTTTACTTTCTATAATATATATATTTAATATATAAAAACAATAATAACTAATGCAAATATTAAGAAAAAATATTACTTATGAAGAATATATAAAGGTGAACATAAAAATGATAATCTTAATGAATTTATTTAATTTTTAAGAGAAATTAAAAAAACTTACAAATTGCTCTAAAATCTACTTCATTTTCCTACCTTACTTAAAAATTATTTAACAAACTGAAATTTAATTGAAAAAATTTTAATTAGTGAAAGGTCTTAACTATATCTAATGATAAACGTGTTATAAAGTTGATATAATACATAATGTAAATTAATCAAATAAAAATTTATAACGGAATATGTTTATTTAAGTAAGATTTCAAGATAAGTCTATCCTCTTCTGAAAGTAGATATTGAGCAAATTAATACAATTTAAAAGAATAATACATAAATCTAATACAAATTGATTGATCATAAATTATAGAATATAAAATTGATTACAATGAATGATGTAATTATATTATAATTAATTGTTTTTATTTAATTTTTGAATGACTATGTGAAAGAGAATTCTAATTGCAAAAGACAATAAATGAAGCATGAGTTTTATTGAAAAACTACTGGATACATTAGATTCGTTTTTTTTTAGAAAGTCACAAACATCATAGACTTAGACAAATTTATTTAAACCTGAAACTTAAAATTTTATTTATTTTTCAATAACTTATCTTGAATATTATTTCTTGTCAAAATATATTGAAATTATATTCATATTAGATCATGTTTAGTGTTATTTTGCATTTTGCTAAATTAAATAAAAAGTGATTTAATTAAATAATGGGATATATAAACACCTTGATCAGCATAATGATTACATCAACACTCTTAGGTTTGATTCTATTTTTTAGGGGTGTTTTTATAGATAGATATTATATTAGGGTTAAAGCTGAAGGAAAAATAGAAAAAGCAGATCCAGTTGTACTGATAGTGATAGATTCATTTAGAATGGATTTAGCTGTTAGCAACTAATTCAATTTTATCTAATAAAGAAAAAATGATCCATAATCCCTTATTTTTTTATCATTAGCTGAAACTCCATCAGTCACTGGACCTAGAATTCAAACTATGACTACAGGTAACTTCGCTCCGTTAACAAAGGTTTTAGATAATTTTCATGATTCGGAGGTATCATTTTCATTAATGTAGATTGTTGAAGATAGTTTCATACGTTAAGCAAAAATGAGTGGAAAGAAGACTTTATTCATAGGTGACAATAACTGGTTAGGACTCTATCCTAATGAATTTACTTAAGCTCATCCTTTAAACAAAATGAGAGTCAATTCTCATGCTATGTATGGTGTTGATAAAAAATTTGAAAAAATATTTCACTAAAATCTTAATTAGAGATTTGATCTAACAGTGATTCACTTTTTAGGAATAGATTATGTTGCTCATGAATATAATAGAGTTGTTCAAAATAAAGTTCTTGAAGAATAATTAGAATAATTGAGTGATATTATAACAAGAATTTATTAGAGATTATCAAATGATACTACTCTAATTATTACAGGTGATCATGGAATGTTGAATGATGGAAATCATGGAGGTAATAGTTCCTTAGAAACTAATACTGTATTCTTTGTAACTAAAAAAAATGCTCATTATAACAAATAATATATGAAAAAAGTTGATGGATTTCGAGATGACTATTAAACTTTTGTGGTCTCAAAGGATTCATATTTAAGAACAATTAAATAAGTTGATATAGCACCAACAATAGCTAAATTAATTGGAGTTCCAATTCCATTTAGTAATATAGGAATGATTATACCAGAAATATTCCCTAGTGATGTTGTTGATGATTATTGTGTAGAAAATTTAAAGCAGATGTTTCATTATTCAAAAAAAATAAAATAAGATTAAGGATTATTTCCTAAATCATAAATTAGATAATGGAAAAACAAAATCGATAAGGTGTCTAATTGTGTTTAAGCTATTCCAATTATGGAAGAAATTCAACATTAAAGCAGAATAATATGGAATAATTATAATGAACTTCTAATAATTCTTTCAATTATCTTTTAAATCCTCAGTTTATTACTCTATATTACTACTTTATTGACAATTAAATATGTTAAAGACTATTCATTATGTAATACATTAATGAGATAAATTAAATCAAAATATAACATTTATAGTAAGTAAATATTCATAGGACTTTTTGGATTGGCAAGTTTAATTTTATTTTTTGAAATAGAAGTTTTTATAGCTATTGTTTTAATTATATCCATTACAANGTATCATTTTCATTAATGTAGATTGTTGAAGATAGTTTCATACGTTAAGCAAAAATGAGTGGAAAGAAGACTTTATTCATAGGTGACAATAACTGGTTAGGACTCTATCCTAATGAATTTACTTAAGCTCATCCTTTAAACAAAATGAGAGTCAATTCTCATGCTATGTATGGTGTTGATAAAAAATTTGAAAAAATATTTCACTAAAATCTTAATTAGAGATTTGATCTAACAGTGATTCACTTTTTAGGAATAGATTATGTTGCTCATGAATATAATAGAGTTGTTCAAAATAAAGTTCTTGAAGAATAATTAGAATAATTGAGTGATATTATAACAAGAATTTATTAGAGATTATCAAATGATACTACTCTAATTATTACAGGTGATCATGGAATGTTGAATGATGGAAATCATGGAGGTAATAGTTCCTTAGAAACTAATACTGTATTCTTTGTAACTAAAAAAAATGCTCATTATAACAAATAATATATGAAAAAAGTTGATGGATTTCGAGATGACTATTAAACTTTTGTGGTCTCAAAGGATTCATATTTAAGAACAATTAAATAAGTTGATATAGCACCAACAATAGCTAAATTAATTGGAGTTCCAATTCCATTTAGTAATATAGGAATGATTATACCAGAAATATTCCCTAGTGATGTTGTTGATGATTATTGTGTAGAAAATTTAAAGCAGATGTTTCATTATTCAAAAAAAATAAAATAAGATTAAGGATTATTTCCTAAATCATAAATTAGATAATGGAAAAACAAAATCGATAAGGTGTCTAATTGTGTTTAAGCTATTCCAATTATGGAAGAAATTCAACATTAAAGCAGAATAATATGGAATAATTATAATGAACTTCTAATAATTCTTTCAATTATCTTTTAAATCCTCAGTTTATTACTCTATATTACTACTTTATTGACAATTAAATATGTTAAAGACTATTCATTATGTAATACATTAATGAGATAAATTAAATCAAAATATAACATTTATAGTAAGTAAATATTCATAGGACTTTTTGGATTGGCAAGTTTAATTTTATTTTTTGAAATAGAAGTTTTTATAGCTATTGTTTTAATTATATCCATTACAATTATCCTAATATATTCAATTGTATTATTGTATTAATGTATGAAGGAAGAATCTGCTTCATACTCTTCTTTACATAAGGATCCAATCAATTAAAGTAAAGAATTTTAATACTTTAAATTTTTTATTTTTGCCATATTTTTACATAAAGTATATAGACAAGGATCACTATTGTTTTCTATTGATGCTGGAACTATTGAACATAATCAATTGTTTGATTAAATATTCGATTTGTTATTTATGAGTTTTGTTTTAAATATTATGGTTTTACTTAAAACCTATTATGATTCAGGATAATCAAAAATACATTTTATTTAATTAGCTAAGTCTATTGGAGAATAGTTAATGCTTTTAGTTTTAACATTAATTTTGTTACAATTAGAATATCTATATTATGAACTTAGTCTTGAGCATTCTTTCAAAAATTTAAAATAGAAGAAACAAATAATTCATATTTATTTCCCCTCTATTTTACAACATGTCTTGCTATATTACTATTAACAATTAGGAAATAAAAATAAATTCAATAAAATAATAGCCCATTTATTTTTATTTATCGTTTAATTCTACTTTATTGTCCCTTAGGTATCTATGTTTGATCAAAAAAGAATCCTTATATAAAACTCCCTTAAAGCATTTATCTTTTGTATGCCCTTTTTTTATATCTATGCTAAGGATTTGATTTTCATCTTAATTCCTACATAATTGGCTACATCTTAATATGGAATTGCAATATATACTTACTTCATAATATTAATGTTATTGGTCTATATTTTATCCAAGCCATAATTGAAGGTACTATTTTATAATCTATTAATAGTATAATAAATTGATATTTGTTGCAATAATTTCATTAATTTGTTAGTACACATGGTTTATGATAGGCAATCAATGTTCTATATCTTCAGTTTAACGTGCAACAAAGAGAATAGGGTTTTCTACTACTAATGGTGTGGAACTGCTTCTAATAATAATATTTCTATTAATAGGCCCTTATGTTGGTGGTTGCTTATTTTTGAAATTTGTAGGGAATATGTTAAAGGAAGAAAAAGATGAATTAAGAGAATCAGAGAAGGAGAATTCAAATAAGGAAATTAAACTATATTTTTTGCTTAACTTTTATCTTTAGATATTGTTTACCCAATTCCACAATTATAATAATTTAGGTGGGTATACAACAATTTAATTTAAATATATCTTTGATGTAGTTGGATATATAATTATTTGTCTGTTAGTTTATATTTAATGAAATATATTTAATAAAATAAATATATATATATAATATTCTCTCAAAAGTCTTCTATTTATGCTTTGTCATTAAAATATTTAGCATGGTATTGTGGATTACGACCATAGGCCAATTCCTCAATCAAATATCTACTTGTGAAAATTCCATCCTTGACTTCACCTGGTGCTTTGGGTCCTCCCATATCAGTTTTAACCCTAGAAATCTTGGGAATAATAGAAATACCAGCCAGGATGAACACAAAAGATGGATTGATTTGGTTATACTAAATCTGTTAGTACATATCTGGCATAAGCATTTGTCAATACTTTAGACACTTTATATAATGGTTAGATATGGGGTGACCATATTCCATAATTACCCTCTTTGTAATTGTGAATCAAATCTCTAGCAAACTCTAAAATTTATTGTTTTGTTAATTTTTCTTATAACAATTTTTAGGTAGAGGGTGGTTATAATTTTAGCTTACCAAGCATGGAAGAAATTAAAATGATCTAATAATAGTATAAATTAATTACTTTTCCATCTTGAGTAAGTTATGGTAGTATGGTTTCAGTTAAATTGATGATTCCGAACAAATTAGTATTCATAATGTCAAAGGCCTTATTTTCTAATTTATTTTCATCATTCACACCAGCATTATTGACAATTACATCAACAGTGGTGTTAGTTGAGAGCATCCATTTATGAAATGACTTAATGCTATCAAATCTGGAAACATCTAATTCTTTTGTTGTGATGCTGGCATTAGGTACAATGGCAGTGATTTTAGACTTAGCTTCATTAAGACTATTGAGATTTCTGGCTGTCAAGAGTATATGATGTTTTGGTGACAAGACTTCAGCTAGTTTAAATCCAAGACCTCGATTTCCTCCAGTGATTAAGACTTTTCTCATTTTTTAAAAATATGAATGTTTATAAATAGTATATAAAATCTTATGAAGTCAAAAGATTTATTATAATTTTTGATAAAGTAAAATAATTTTATCAATATGAAATTAATTCTTGAGATAATTAATTATTAATAATGTTCTATATGAAAAATACATTGATAATTCTGTTTTAATTATAATTATAATAAATATATTTCATTAAAAGTATTATTATTTATCATAGAAAAATGAAAGTATTTTAATTCAATCAAAGTAGGTCTAATTCAATAGTATTTGTAAACTCTCAAGTTGTAATAGTAATATTAGTAAAATGATTTACTATATATAAGAATTTAATTATTCATGATTTTTAACATTTTATATTGTATGGTATTGATTGTAATGAATAAAATCAAATTTGTATTGACATTATAACTATATAAGTAGAATTAGTATTGGAAAATGAAAAATTCAAGAAATTACAAATAATTTGTTGAATATTTTTTACGAAGTATTAAAGTATATGAAGTGGTAGTATATCAATAACAAACTTATTGATCCTTGTGATATATTTATTTAAGAAAGAAATGTCTATTTTGTGATGTATCTTTAAGTAAATTTAAAGTGATAAAATTAGTGATTTAGTTTCAAATCGGTTAAATGGAATTAGTTATGACATATTTAAAACACATTAATTTAAAATAGATTCAATAATAATACATCAGAATATATTTAAAAATTTATTGTATGTATATATGTTTATTAATATATTATAGAAATGATTAAATAAATATTAAAATAATTTATATTTAATTATTTATTATATTGATTATTCAAAATTTTGTACAAAATAATGAACAACCTTATCTATCATTATGTTTTTTGATTTCCTTCTTTTCTTAAATTGGTAGATTACTTTTATACATTTTTGATTCTTCAATTTAATCAAGAATGATAAGATTATCAAATTTTAATTATAATTCAAATACTTTATTAAGAGGTAGAATATTTGAATTATTAAGTAGTTCTTTTATATATTTATATACTTCTGAATCTTATGTTTCAGCAGCAATTCCAATATCATTATGATTAGCTCCTTCTACTTTAATGAATGCAAATAAATTCTAACAACTTTTTGATAATTATTCAGAATGATTAATTTTAATAATGGTATCTTTGGTACCATGAAAGATGAGGATTGGAGCAGTGACTTTATTAATGATAGATTAATTAGAAAACTTATCATGTTCTGAATAGAAAGAATTTCGATTGTCTATGATTCTTCCTAATGATGCTAATGGAGCTTATAGAATGATTCCAGAAAGTTAAAATTATGTTGCAACTTCAACAGTAGGATAAGAACCTATGGAGTATCCCCATAAAAATATGTAATCATATAAATGTTAAGCAAGTGCCAGAACATTAGAGAGATCTCTTGATATGCCATATCTATTAGATAATAAAAATACTCTGATGGTTTCATAGTTTTTTTTGTGATTCCATATCCTGAATAATCATAACAAATCACATCAACTTAGTATAATTCACAAATTTTGGCACCCCATCTAGATGATTAAGCTAAATCTATTGCATTACTATGAGATAAGATGATGACTCTATCTGAATTACATGAATAATGAATTATAGGAACATATGATACAATTACATTATTTTCAACTTCTTTTAAAATGGAAACTCTATATTGAAGATTGTAACATTAATTTAAATCAATCCAATTATCATTAACTTGCATACTGAATTCTAATCCATTAAAATCTAAACTATTTTTTATTTGATAAGTTGGTTTTGGTGGTTAAAAAATTAGATTATGTTCAATGACTTCAGTTAAACCAAATTTATTAATTAAAGACATCTTCCAAGATTCTCTAACTTGTTTATTATTGTTCTACATGTATATTATAAATATATATAAATAAAAAATGTGTAATCACTTTTTTTAAGTAAAAATGTCCTTTATGACTTTAAACAACAAATCAATATTATTATTCTATTATGCTGACACCTCAATATATTGATAGGATCTTTGTTTAGCCCAATTATAACCTTCATTTTCAGACATACTTCTCTTCTCCTTCTTATTACCTACAACCAATATAGGAATATTGGCAGCTCCATAATCATTGGCTTCTCTAACCCACATATCTAGAGTTTCTAATGTTTTACGAGTAGATAAATCAAAAACTAACATTATCATATTAGCATCCTTATAAAATTCATTTCTAACTTCTACAAATTCTTATTGTCCACTAAAATCCCAAAAGTTTAACTTTATATTTATATATTAAATATACAGACATATTTGATGATGGTTGTACATGTTTAAAATCAACTGCTATTGTTGAATTATATTTTTCATTAAAATCACCATTTATATATCTGTCCAATATAGATGTTTTACCAACAAATGGATCACCTAATACTAGTATTTTATATTGTTCATAATTATCTTTGTTTTTGTTTATCTTAATTGTTCCTGGTCTAATGTGAAAATTCAATTTACTTCGTTATTGTTCGCATTATAATAAATAATCTAAAATATTTTTTATATACAAATTAATACCACGCATTCATATTTTAAAAAATGAATAAGAAAGAATAGAGAAAACTTAATGCTCAAATAGATAAGGAAGTCCTTAAATTAACAGGTGGAGTATATCCTGTTGGTCTTATTACTTAATAAAAACCCATCATTCATTAGAAATGGGCACAAGAAGAAATATTATTAAACAATTCTCTTATCAAAAGAATTAATGCTTGGGTACCTGAATAAGAGAGAGGCAAACTATTTCCAGGAGAAAAATTTAACATTGAACCTGAAATTGTTGAATTTACAGAAAATGATATAGTGGTTGATGAAAATTGGGATTATGAAGAAACCAAATACTTATTTTAAGAATTAAGACATTTTAATTATAATTTCATTATTCTTTATGATAGATATCAATATTAAAATAAGAATAGAGATATATATCAATTAAAAGATAGATATTATAGTGTAATGAGAGAGATCTTATAAAAAAGAAATTAAACATCACATTAATTATATAATTATGTTTATGATGAGGAATATGATAGATTTAGAAATATGGAATTAGAAAAATATTTAAAAAGAACTAAATAAATATGTGATGATGAAAAAAAAATATAAGAAGATCTAAGAAAATTAGATTAATTGATTAAAAAATAAGAAAAAGAACATCGTAGTATAACTAGATGTATTGGAAGTGCTTAAGAAACTGATGTAAATATATATATATATATATAATAGGAAATAGATGAAAATAGATTATAAACAATTTTAGAAGTTGGTTAGAAAAATGAAGATTTAAAAAATAAAACTTAATAACATATAGTGTATCTTAGAACCAAATGGGTTAATGAAGTATTACCTATTCCAAGTTCAGTTAAGGATAAATTAGATAGATAATTAAAAGACATTATCCCTCAAACTAAATTAGTCTTAAATTAAGAATTAGAGTCTTAATACTCTCAATTAAGAAAGTTTTATTTAGAAGTTTTAATTAAATAAAGATTATAAAAAAAGAGAGAAGCAGATAAAAAATAATTAGAAGATAAAATTAGAAAACTTAAAACATAATTTGATTCTTAACCTCAAAGTGATATTAAATAAAAAAAATGATAGATTCAAATTTGTTTTCTTTACAATTTAACTCATTTTTAATTAATTTAAATTAAAAGAAATTTTTATTATATATATTATCATTAATATCATCCTCTTTTAAACATTATTTTTATTGTCTAAATTATATTATTTCTTATATTTATAATACTTTCCTTAACTTAAACTCCTTACATTCTAATATTCTATCTAATTATTCTAAATTGTTCTGCAATTGCATTCTTCTATTAAATTAGACTTTATTTAATTGAATCCATTTATTAATTAATTTAATTTTTTATTGAAATTAAACTAAGCTTTAATGAATCATAAATATTGTTAAGTATAATCTTAATAGCATTCAATTAATCAATCATAGATTATTTTATTTTATTTAAGAGTTCTTTCATTTTATTTAAAATAGCTAATGTTGCTTATTTGACTATTATACATTGACCTACTATAATATCTCTCAAAATGACAATATAATTGGAAATTATTTATTTAAAAGATAGGAATGCTTAGATTATATAATTCTTAAACTATATTAAAGGACCAATCATTATTCCATAAACATATTTAATCTACTACCAAAGTAATTAAATTTATGCCTTAATAAATTTTATTAATAATTTAATAAAATTTGTGATTTTAGTCTTAACAAATAGGATTGACTCTCTCAAAAATAGATATGCCAATTTTAATTTATAAATTCCATAATTTATTATTAATATTACTTTTTATTTGATTTTAAGGTAACTATCTCTAATTTTTACTGCAAATAATCTTATACTTGCCCAAGCAGGTAATACATAATCATATTTAATCATATCTTTGAAATTGATTAATGATTAGACAATAATTAAAACTACTTTTTTCATGATACTATATAAATAGATACTAGTTCTAACAATTGGCTATATGATTTTTGAATTTATAATTGTAATTATCTTCTTAGATTATTTAATAACAATATTTATGAATCTTTCTATTTTTATAAACAATTAAATGAGTTTCTCAATTATATAAACAATACCATTATATAACTTATTAGGTATTACATACATAATAAAATCAATTCCTAAATTAATAATTTTGTTTAATTGTATATAAGGGTATGAGATGATATTGAAAAATATTTCAAAAATTTTTTCTATTAACCATATAATTGGATTGAGTATCCTAAATGCAATTATAAATTTTACAATAATCTTACATTGTAATTCTATTATCCATTTTATAAAGTTCTTCATAGATTTAAATAACAATTTTACAAATCTATTAATTAATTATCCACCTAATTTTAAAAGTTTCTTGATGTAATTAAAGGCTATTTTTATGTTTTATAATATTATCTAAGCTATTCTTTTCATCTTTTCTTAGAGACGATTCATCTTCAAAACAAATTTTTAATATCTTTTAGCACTATTCTCCCTCATTTTATTATAGATTTATTTGGCTTTCAAAGACAGCATTTTTCCTCTTTTCTAAAGTAACTTAAATACTTTAAATGATACTTTCGATCCATTTTTATAAATATTCTATAATTTTACTTTTAACTTAATAATGACTTCATCTCTCAAATAAATTAATGCCAATTTAATGAGATCGATACACTTTAAAGTTATATCAATAATTAAATTTTTTATTTTTTTTGATACTTCTTTTAACTTGAGACTGACAGGTGAGATTACATTTTGTTTTAATTATTTGTATTTTCCTAAAAGGAAATCTATTAAGAGAAGGAAAAAATCGATTAATTTGTTTTTAAGATACTTCATACATCTTATTAATAATTTAATTTAAACATGAATCCAATCCAAAAATTATAAAAATTTCCTTTCCAAATAGTTTAAGATTAAACAACCATAATAATTAGATCCATGATATATTTTAATCATATAATGACAAAATTATATGAACAAATAATAACTAAGGTTTACAATTTTGTTCTTTAATGGTATGAATACATATTCATTAAAGAATTTTGATATCTTTTAAAGTATTTATTAAACATAAGATAAAAACTATATTATCTTTTCTTTTAGATATATTGTTAATCTTTTAATTGCCTTAAAGATTATTAATATGAAGCATTTTATTTTAAAAATTATGAATTTGAATATTTTTTTTATTACTCTAGTTAATGTTAAAACTTGTATCTTGATATAATTTGATATTTTTTTGTACCAATAATCACAAAATGTAAATAGAGCTATTGATTTCAATTTTATCCATTAATCTATGATAATAACATATTTTATAACAAAGGCTATAAAAAAGTAAATGATTAATAGTTTCACTTATTAATATTTCTAAGTAAGGAATTCTAAAGATGTATTTAGACAATCCCACAACTTTGCAATTAATAATGAGCATTTTATATATATCCAATTTTAGACAAAATAATAATTTACAATAATGTATTATTTTGTCTTTCCATATGCAATGACAGTGAAATCTATAAATGAGATAAGAGATTTCCAAATGTAAATTGATAAATTTTTTATTCCAATCGCTAATTCAAAAATAATCATGCAAGGAAAAAGTAAAGCAAACAATATTACATTAATTATATTTTTGTAAAGAGGATCTCCTTTTTTAATAATTCCTCCAAAGAGTTTACTTTATGCCTTAATTTATTAAATTTTGGCATCATTTAGTTCATTGATTTATGCATTATGAGCATCTATATCCATTTAAATTTATTATATTAATATATTTCAAATTAATAACTCTATTAAAATAAGATTGCCACGTCTGATTGTGTGCTCATATAGAATTTAATACATAAATCAATTGTATTAAATTGTAAACGTATATAAATAATTTATATTAATAGGCTAATCAATATAAAAAATCTATCTTCACATCCTCTCAATTATTTTCAAATAATAATATTGTTAAAAATAAACATATGGGATTTATTTATTGTATTAGTATAATTTAATAATACTAATATATACATATATCTATATAATATGAATACAATTTTATAAGTTAATTTAAATAAGAAATTATATTCTCTTAATAATGATTATCTTATCTCTAATAGTACTTAAAGATAATATTAAAGCAAAGTAATTCTTTTTATATAATAATTTCAGTTAAATCAATATAAAGTTTTAATGATATTTGTTATCAGTAGTAAAATATATATTTAGTATTTACGTAAAACAAATTTCCTAATTAATTATTAAGATTTAACAAAATCGTTTTTTTAGCATTTTTAAATCATTTTGTTTTTGACAAATATTGATTTAATTTAAATAAACCTAATCTCTACTCTCAACCTCTTCAATATATGTAATCTAACGAAATTCTTGCAGTCTAATCAAGTATTTTGTTTATCATAACTTAGACTTTCTATAACCTTATTGCATGTTACCCTAAATATAACAAACTGAATTGCCTTTTGAAGATGTCCACGAATAACTATAAATAAGTAAATTATAATACTAATTATATAGTTGAGAGCGTTGAAACATTCAATTTTGATGAAGTTGATGTTCAGAACGATTATTATAATCCAATTTAAAAATTACCTTTAAAGAAGCCAAGAAAAAGAAGAAGAAGACAAGCTGTTCATGATAAAAGAAGAAAAAGACCTATATCAAAAAAAATTGTAATTACATTTTTTATTAACTTTAATTAGAATAGAAAGCATCATGCTATCCCATTCAATTATTAAGAAGATAGACAGATTCTTCTATCAGTCTTAGAAGTGGGTCCGAAGTTCTATAAAATTGCCAAAAATTTTCCAGGAAGGACTTTGAGTATGGTGAAGAATAGATATTATAAGACTTTGCGCTTTTAATGGGATGTCATATTGGGACAGTAATACATTATATTAAGATTTATAGGGAATATGGATACATGAATGCTTAGGTAACTGAAATTTAAAATTAACAAAATATAGAGTATTTTGATGATGTTTATGATAATGATTTCTATTCATAATTTTTATTTTGAAATCTAATTATAATTCTAATTAATTTATATAATATTCTCAAAAAAAATACAGTCTTTGTTTTAAATAAACTATTAAAAATGGATGAAAAAATATAAAAATAACTAAATTTTTCAAAAGACTTCTGAAATTAGTTCACTTTATTTTTAACCACCCACAAATTCATAATTCTTGAAACTCATTGAAAAATATGCTTCTCCTTGTGATATAGATCTAATGGCAGTTGAATATCCAATAGATTCCTATGATGGAATAGTAGCAGTAATAATAACTCGATTGCTATTTTGTGATCCTGCTCTATTTTAATCTTATTTAATTTCTATAATCTTTCCTCTTCTATGTGAAATCAAATCATTAATGATTCTCTATTACAAAGAATTAGGACAAGATATTTCAAGATCCATTATTGGTTCCAATATAATTGGCTAGAATATATATAATATATACTTTAAGTAAAGGATGTATTTCTTACATTAATTTTTAGACTGCTCGACCAAGTGCTAAATCGGTTGTTCGTTTAAGAGAAAAAGCACCATCCAAAATAGTGGCTTTAATACCTTACATTTAATAAGATTTCAAGAATCCCCTATTAAGAGAAGCAAGGATTGACTTTTCTAATTGATAAAACATAGGAAATTGCAATGAAGATATATGATAAGCCTTTTCTTCTCCATGATCATCAATAATAGTATCTACTTCTATATTTTTACAAGGATTCTTAATGTATTTAACAGATGTTTCATTTTTTTAAGTAGCCACCTATCTAAGTTAAGTTTCTTTGAATTATTTATATAGGATATCAAATTCGTTTTCTCTATCAAAATCAAAAATAACTTCATTTTCTTACTATTCACTTGGTTACAATTTTAATTTCAATTTAAACCATAAAGGTCTTCCTTTAAGAATATCTTAATATTTGACTTCCAAAACTCCTTCCTCACTAATGCTCTCTTTGTATTCAACTTACAATTTCTTAAGCTTAGTATTTAGACCAAAATCTTCTTTCAATCTTTAAACAACAATTTCTAGATGCAATTCTCCTTGTCCACCAATAGTAATAAGTGTCTCATCAGCTACAGTAATCTTCAAACTCTCATCTTCCAATTATAACTATTATAGAGCCTAATCTAATTTGAGTTTATCTTTGGCTGATTCATATTCTAAATTGGCAAAGAAAACACACTGAGGTAATTACAATTACTATAATACAAATCTAAATATGAATCAAAAAGGATTTTACCTCTCATCATTCGATCCAATTAAGGTAGAACCAGCAACTACTTATTTAGATTAAATTGCAATAATATCTCCAGCTTAAACATTATTTATAGGAACATATCTATTAGCTCTGACTCTATAGAGATTGCCAACCTTTATAAGTTCATCCTTTGTACTATTGCTGTAATTTTATTTTTAAGTCATTTCTCCAGAATAAATTCTAGTAAATCCAAGTAATCCCAAATCTTAATCTTAAATAACCTTATAAATAAATGCAGTTAATTTTTCACTCTTCTCCAATTTTCTTTTGTTATTTGGATTATTAATATCAAAAATTAATGGTCTCTCACTTGGACCTGGCAATAATTAATGAACAGCATCTAAAATTGGTTATACACCTCTATTTTTAAGTGCTGATCCAAAATATATAGGACAACATTGATTGTAATGTGTATTAATAATTTATCTAATTGATTAAAGTAACAATTATTAATTTAACAATTCTTTCGAGTCTTCTAAATAGAGTTCAGCAATATTCTCATCAAATTCAGATACAGTAGATAATAGATCATCTCTTGCTTTAATGGCTTTATCATAATAACGATGTGATTTATCCACATCTCTAAATTCAACTTCTGATCCATACTTATCTAACCATACAATTTCTTAGAAGGTTAAGAGATCAATAACAGAGTTGAAATAATCAATTTCTCCAACAGGAATCTACATTCTAATATAATATATAAATAAATACATAAATGGTTTGATATTTAATCTGTCTTTCATTGATTAAATTGTATATTCTAATGATGCTCCTTATCTATCCATTTTGTTAACAAATGCAATTTTTGGAATATTAAATTTATTAGCTTATAACCACACTGTTTCTGATTGTGTTTAAACACCTGAAACTCCATCAAAGATTGCTATGGCTCCATCTGTAAAAATTAGAATATTACAAATTCTTTACCTAAAACTCTAAGAGATCTTTCAACTTCAGCTGTAAAATCAATATGTCCAGGTGTATCTATGAGATTATATTAATGATTTGCCCAATTAAAAGATATAGCAGCAGATCTAATAGTAATTCCTCTTTGTCTTTCTTAGGGCATGAAATCCATGGTAGTAGTACCATCATGAACTTCTCCAGGGAATGGAATGGCTCCTGCATAAAATAACATTCTTTCTGTGGTTGTTGTTTTACCTGCATCAATATGTGCAATAATGCCAAAATTTCTGATTTTCTCTTGAGTAGTAGTTGGTAAATTCTTCAATCTTTCAGCTCTCTCTTAATTGATTCTATCTCGAATAGAAGAATAAGTATAGATTCGCTTCTTTAGACAAGTTCGAAGCATATAAATATTAAACTCAAAATAATAATAATACATAATAAGACAAACCATAAATAAAATAATCTCTATAGCATGTTATTATTTTTTTTTGTAATTACTTCATATTAATATGATGTATATATTAAAAACAATTGAATTTGATATTCATTTATTCTGTTGATAATTTAATTGCAGTAAAACTATGGCAAATATTGAAATTCTGTATAAAAACAAGTATTATTATTATTACATTATACTACACTAAACAATTAATATGAGAAGAATTGAACTCAGAAATATCAATTTTTATTATTTAAATTAGATTAGAAGAAGTTTTAAATAGCATTTACTTGATGTTCAATATATATATATATATGAATTTAAATTTTGACATTTCATATTATAAACATTTCTTTTTCATCTAAAAAGATAAAGATTTCTTTAAAAAATCATATTGAATTATTAATTATTGTTTGAATAGGGAAGTATAAATATGAATTGCATTTATAATTATTAATAATTTGAAATCCAAATATATAGAATAATATATTATTTTTCTATATATATTATCATTATCATTTAGAATCGGTTGGAAGCAATACTACTTTAGTGGATCCTTATTGTCCCAAAGTAGTAATGGTGTCTAGATATCTAATTTACATGGCTGCTTTGGAATCTAAGAGTTCTGCTGCCTATCTCATAAGTTTAGCTGATTAAACATCACCTTAAGCAGAAATGACTTTAGCTTAAGCTGCTCTCTATTCCTTAGCTGCCATGGACAAAGTATTCTATAAATCAGCATTCAATTAAATATCTTTTATTAACATGTTCTCAATATCAATTCCCCATTCCCAAACATGTTCATCTACAAATCCTTCAATTTGTTATTAAACTTCAGCTCTTTTCTCTAATAAGTCTTGTAGAGTGTGAGATCCAGCTATGCTTTTGATAGTAGCCAATGTTAATTGAGTTACAGCTTAATGTAGATCATTGATGTAAAATATGGATCGTCTTGGTATCACTATTCTATAATAAACAGTTGCATCAATGCTCACTAAAATATTGTCTTTAGTCATCACTTATTATCTAGGACAGTCAATCATTTAAACTTTGCAATCAACTTTCTAAATTGTATCAGTACAAGGATTGATGTAAATTAATCCAGGTTGAACTTATATAATAAATTTCTTATCTACCTGTCTTAATGTATTTTCCAAAACGTAAATATACTCCAACAAAACTTTGTTCCACTTAAACATATGGATATTCAACAAAAGGATTACATGGACAAACAGCTTTACAATTTCCACAACACTCTCCACAATTGTATAGATATGATTAATATGAACCACCTAAATCTAGATTCTGTTCTAAATTTTCAGGTAACTCTTCTCTTGGATAACGAGGAGCTTTATAACCTAACAAATAAAATCAAATTAATAATTTACCAGGTGGTGGAATATTATAATCACGATGTTATTGGGGTGGAGGTTATTATTATTGATACATAACTTAGTTTTGTTAATACATAATAAAATAATTATATAAATATATATATATATATAAAAATAAGAAATAAATCACCTTAAACTAATTACTACTGGTCCAGAGTAGAAAGGAGCATATCCTAAAGGTAATTCAGAACCTTCAATTATCATATTTCTAAAAAATTATTCATGTGTTTAAATTGAATATCTATATAAATAATTATACTATAAATACCGTTCTTCATCATCATTAGTTGCAAATAATAATTCCATTTAAAGATTAGCTTCTATTCCTCTAATAACTTCACTATCAAATCTGAATACTTAACATTATATATCAGTATAAGAATGTCTATAAACTGTCAATTTATTCTTACCAGAATCATAACCCAAAGACCATAATAATAAATTACTTTACATAGCTGTATACCATCCTTATTCATTACCCATTCCAATATAACAATCATTTATACCTTTCAATTCTTCTAATAATTCATTATCATTAATATTCAAATGACCTTCAATTGAATAATAATCTAAACTCAATTTCAATGCAGTTCTTATAGCTTTAGTAACTATATCTGATAATATTTAATCAATTCCTTTCATATATCTTTATTCAGATAGATATTTAGAACTCTGAAATAAATTAAAGAGAACCTTCTAATTTAATTTGCTCTCATAATTAAAATCTAAATCACCCAAAGATACTTAATAAATATATAATATGGCTTTCTAAATATGATTATAAAATCCTTCTGATTTATTATTATTTTATTATTATAATTTCTTAGTTTATTAAGGAATATCTTATGTAAAATCATCTAACATTCCCATTATATCATCTTCATCATGTTTAATTTAAACTTTTGTTTATGGTTTAATTTATATTTTTATTTCTGTTTATTAATCTAATTCATCATTCTTAAATGATATAAACTTATTTTTCAATTGAATACAATCTGCAAATGAATTAGGAAATTAATTTTCATAACCTTCATATTTACTTGATAATTCAACAATTGATTTCTAATTTTTATCTGTTATCTCTTAAAGGAAATAATAACATAACATCCTTAAATATATTTTCTTAAATCCACTAACAAATTCAGTTGCTTCTATTGTACCTGTTAAACTTAATTAATTTTCCTCATAACTAGATATTGAAAATTGACTCTATAAAGTTAAAGCACTTCCAAAATATGATCCACAATCCTTAGCTTCAACTAATCTATCAACTTCTCTTGCTTCTATACCATGACAACTTGTAGTCTCTTATGATTCTAAACCCTTAAATTGAATAACAGCATATCCTCCTTAATATTCCAATATTTGCATCATTCCCAAATATTTCCCTATTCTTATTAAATAATGACTCCATAATGGTTGAGAACACAATAATTTATTATATGCTTTACTTAAATAAGCATTATAAATTGATCCTTCTGATGAATTTTCAATATGTTAATGAATATGAATTGTATTTCTAAAGGGTCTAAGAGATGCAAAATAAAAAATAGGTAATCCCAAGAAAGGCATATATGGACTATCTAAAATACTGGATATTATCATAATTAAGAATGTTATTGGACACATTAATAATTATAATGTTGTAATAAATGCAGCTCCCTCTACTTTTTACTTCTTCACTGTTAACATCTTTTAACTAATCTACTTAAATTCATTATTACTTTGCTATAATCCATATTAATAATCGAGATTTCATTCTTATTCCAAATCTTAATATTATTTATACTAAAAATCCAATCAATTAACAATATGCCATTGAATAACTTGTATTGAATGAAACTATAAAACATACTAATTATTCAAAAAATAAATAATTAGGATTTGAATGTATTAAACTATACAATCTAATTATTGTTGTACATTCAAATAATCTTTAAGCAAAAATCCCTTCAAAATTATAATCCATCATAGAAATACATGCACATTCTATTATAGCATAAAATATTTTAAAGTATTTTACATATTATACAAATTTTAATTGTATTATGATATAACATAAATATATTGGAATAATAGCATAAAACAATTCTTTATAATGTGAAGATGCTAATATTCCACATAATATTATTGAAATTATATTCAACATAGAACTTAATAAATTATATAAAATATATGGTCTATCCAAATAATTCTACTTATAAATTTGCTTATCATTCTTTGGCATAGATCCAAATATATTGAACATTTTAATATTGACTAAACAACCACTTACTATTATTGCAATTCTATTCTCATTTATGAATGACAATCCCAAACATATAGCAACCAATACAACATTTAATAATACATTTAAGTATGTTCTTTTCTAACTCCATTAGTAGGATGAACCCATTAAAAAATTAAATTGCTCCCCTACATATTCCAAACTAATTCAATTTATTTATTTACTTACAATTATGAAAACTATCCATACAATCCTATCCATATCAAAATAGGTGTGAAATAGTAAATATATCTGATTATATTGGCTATAATCATTCTATTAACATGTGTGAAAATCAAAATCAATTTCAAAAATAAACAAGCATATCTGGATCTAGAGTATCCCTCCAATTAAGTAAATCCAAGTTCAACATTTTATTCTCGAGGAAACAAGAAAAAAAATACTATTGCATCTAAAATTGTCCCACCATATCTGATTGCTGAAGCAGTTCCTAAACTTTAAGGAATCAATAATCCAATCATTTATCCCAATTATGATCTAGTCTTACGATACTCTTCACTTATTAAGCAATTTAAGCTTATCTAAAAAGTAACGTTGATAATAGCAGGCACTATTAAAACAACAATGTAATTGTCTACAAATTTAGCAATTATGTAAGTTTGAATTACAGATACTAATTATACAATAACCTACTCATTAATTTAAATTCTACCTATATGATATATAGCTTTGTTGTAAGGTTTAATTAGTGTCCTCCAAATAGAGAGGCTAAACAAGCATTGAAAAAGTAACTTCTTTTCTGTAAAGTGAGAACTGGTGCAGTTTAATTCATTTTTTTAATTAATAATAATATATATATATATATAGTAGAGATAACTATCTTAAACACATAATAATATTGTTGAAACTTATGATATTATATTCCATTACTCTATTTAATTGTTTATATATTTGTGGAATATAACTAACTGTATATACTTTATCAATTATTATAAATAAATGAAAATTCTTTTTATCTGAAATATTATAATATTTCATTATACGTAAAACATTTATAATTTATAGAACAATATATTTTGGATTAAATTTAAACTTAAAAGTATATTAGTACAAATATATATTTAGAATTGGAAAAAAAAACATTTAAATTTATTTATAACAGTTATTTCATTAATCTTATTATAGAACTTTAAATATAATTAATGTGTAAATTAAATAAATTCTTTTGAGAGTTTAAAATATATACTAAAATATTTGTACTTAATATGGATTATAATACTTGATGACAGAATGTTATTATATACTAATTAAATGAAAAATATCTTTACCAACTGAACAGCATTAATTAATTTATTATTAATACTAAAGACTGTATTAATATATACAAATAAAAAAGATTTTATAATTATTCAATAATATAAATGCCTATGCAGTAAAGAACTAAATTCATATTAAATTTAATGTAAGATTGTGGGGACCAATAAAATTATATCAACTTCCTCTAGTTAGAGAATGGTGTAGGATCAATTGATGAAAACTCTTCTTCGTTACTTCAATTAAATCATGAAAATCCATCTCTGACTTAGATCATTAATCTAAATGGTTATCCCTTAAAACAATAAGCTAAGAAGATAAAAAAGAAGAAGCGAGTGGACTTTCATTATAAAAAGAAGAGAAGAAACATTAAATCAACAGAGATAAATAATAATAATCCATTCAATGTAGAGGAGGACAAAAAAATCCTATCACTTGTACTTGAACATGGTCCAAAGTTTAGTGATATAGCTAAATACTTCAATGATAGAAATCAAAATGCCATTAAGAATAGATACTATAAATACCTTCGATTTAAATGGGATTATTATATGGGAAGGTATGGCTTTTTAATATAATGATTAATAGTGAGTACAGAAGACTGAATTGTAAGCGAGATAATGAAAAAGTGGAATGTAGTGATCTAACTTAAATGATGGATGACATGAATATCTTTCCAGAAATTAAAGATTTATTATCCAAATTTGTATACACACTTCACTCTTATTTCAATTGATTACTCTTATATATGTGTATTATACATTTAGTAAATTTGTGATTTTGAATTCTCCATTGATCAATCATTGAGTAGTTGAATAAATAAATTATAGATTTCGAATCAAAACTCTATGAATAACAGAGTATGTTGGTTAGGATTTAGAATAGATGTGAGTAAAGATGATAGAAGAATAAGGAACAATCTAATTTGTTTAATTCAATTAGGATTTGAAGTGTGAATTAGGAATGTTGGATTGTGGGATGAATTGGAATAAACGAATTAGGTTGTATTAAAATATATTTGGGATATATTATGTAATTATCAAAGAAATGTATTGGTATTTATGAATGAATTATATATATATTTATTAAGGAATTTGATTATTAATTAGATGTAAGAGAAATTAATAGCTGGACTGACATCGAGTTATGGCAGTTTGTTAGGTCAATAGTATTTAAAGTGGTTGAAGATGCCTCCTTCTTATTTAAGAGTGATGCAATCCATTGATTATAGAAAAGGGATGTATGCAGCTTAACAAATAAAGGCAAATCAATAGATAATGCTTATTTCGACAGAGAAATGTTTTACAAGTGTTGAATTTGTTGGTTGTGATACTAGAAAATCTTAAGAACTTCAGGTATGTAGTTGCAAATCAATTAGACCATAGCATCATAAATCGCTCACAAAATATGTGGTGGAAAAGTGGAATAGTAGTATTTGGTCACAGGATTGCTCAAAATAATTATGCAAGTATTTGTGCATCAAAAGGACCAATCACTAACTCACTCTCCATTTGCAAATATGATTTAATCTCCTAATACTCCTTTATTGTGGCCATAAACTGTTATTGATTTGATATCATCAAGAAATTTGGCTTCCTTGATTGAAGGTACTCTCCTTCAATGTTAATCAATGTATAATGAATTACAATTGAGCAAAGTATATGGTTTGACAGCACTTGAATTTTTGAAATTGTTCCAAGCTGTTAGAGCTTCCTTAATTTGCTTCAATTCATAGTATGACCAATATCAATACATTCTAGAAAACCAAAATACTTTGATATGCAATCAGTCTAAATAGTATGTCCATTAGTTTATCAATTTGATCATTCCTTTGATCCTAATTGTTATTTAGATGGTTGTTATTTGAGTCATGAAAACATGAGTTTTGTTGATTTTAGTGCCAAAAAACAAATTGAACCAGGAGATGTATAATAAAATAATTTTAATAGAAATTAACTATTAATTATGGTAATTTAAGTAATCATGATCTATTAATGAGACATGGTATTATGGTAGATGATAATCCATATAATGAAATGCCTATTGATTTAGATTTCACTACAGCTATAAATTATACTGAATAATTATTTGATTAAAAGTAAAAATGGTTAAGATAGAGTGAAATCACAAACATTGAAAGATAATCATTATTTACTAATAAAATTAATGTACAATTATTACAGTAATATTTTTATCTTATATATTTAGATATTTAAGGATTTACTTTTTAACTGAATAAGAATATTCTAAAAATCCACATCTTGAATTTAATTCATTCTAAGAAAAAGTCAGTGAAGAAAATGAATTGTTAGTCAAATAGTTTATGATTCAAAACATCAAGAATGTTTTATCCACTTATAAATAAATTTCTAAACCTATTGGTAAAGAATTGTAGGACTTATATAAAATATAAAAGGATGAGATGACCATACTATAAAATAATCTAACTTTTTTTAGTAAATGAGTGCAAATGATAAAAAAATGTTAAAATTATTTATAATTAATAAATTGATGAGACAATCTAATAATGAAAAGACTCTTCCTACTCAAGGAAATACTATTGATAGACAATTCTATTATAATCTCCTCTCTCTTGAGAAGGCTATTATTAAAGAACCACAACTTGATGCTGTACAAAAAGCATTAGCTATGTATAGGTATTATTTGTAATATATAATCATCAATAGAAAATGTGTTGAGTATTTTGATAATATACAAGATCCAATCAAATATTATTTTTTGGACAAGATTTAATAAGCTTTGAGTGAAACTAAAACACTTATGCTTATTATTAATTCTAAATCTGAATTAGAGTCTTCTAAAACTATTAGTCCTGTTAAGCGATGCTCAATATCAGATCTACCATCACCATAATTATCTGATTAATAGATTATGGATAAGAAATTAAGATCTAAATAAGTCACCTTATAAATTAAATTACATGAAGCTGCAGATTAATAATGTAAAATCTATATCATATATATATACTAGCTGAAATACTAAATACAATGGTCACTGATTTTACAACTAATACTACAAGTACAGATTAAAAGGTTAGATAGGATTTAAATTAATAAGCAGACATAATATAAGCTAGAATACTCAAGAGATAACAGAGTACAAAAATGAAAGGTTGCTCATCAATGCAAACATTGTTATGATTATTATTTATAAATAATAAATTTGTGATTTCAATTAATTAAATGATAAATATTATAATTGGAATAATCAATTCAATTTATATAAGATAAAATCTATTTTAATAATATAAAACGACTTTTGTAAATATTTCTAAGTCTTTTTTTTGGCATAAAGATCGATATGATATACAGATGGTAATGATGCTAAAATAATGAAAAATAGTTTTGTTTATTTTCAATAATTAATAGAATAAAATGGATGGAATCTATCAATTACATGGTTCTATAGTATTTTAAACTGAAAATTCAAATAAATAGGTAATAAAATTGGAGAGAAGATTATTATATCTATTTTTATACTCAATTAATTAATAATATACTTTAATACATTCAATTACTCTTTATCACATTGATTACTATTCTTATGTTTATTAAACCCAGGATACCATAATATAGGGCTGTCAAAATTAATAATTTAAACCCTTATATTAAATATTAAAGGAAGAATCCAAAAAAATAAAGTATCATGAATTTTGGCATTATTGATTTCCATTAAATTTATATACCTGATTTATGGATTATTATAAATGACACAAATATTCTAACTGACATTGATAGAATATTTGAGATAATAATTCCTGATGATCCTAATTGAACCATTATGATTAAAGATAAACTGAATAAGTATATGATAATAAATACCTATATATAATTGTTTAAGCTATAAGTAAATATCTATACCACCACATATCTTTTGTAGCTATTGTAGAATTCACATAACTTTCTGTAATTCCATTTATACCCATAATCCAAATGTAAATACAATAAAATTACATTGCCAATGTACATGAATCTGAAGTCCATTAGGAACCATAAATTTACAAGAATGCAGAAGCACAAGGTATACCAGCACTTATAATACTTATTCCAACTAAATTCAAAAACTTCAAATATTTCTATAACAATTAAGTTTATTCATCTTAATTAATTTTTGGGAATAGATTATATGCTATCTATTCTATGTTAACATATATAAAACGAGGGATTATTGAACCAATATGACTTATTAAGGTATACTCTCCTGAGATGATGGGATTGTTGTAAATAACCATGACTATTTTTTCTAATTCTTATAATAAAAATTTCATAAAAGCCATCAATGTAAATTGATAACCTATTTACTTCATCTCTGCTACAACATATACTCCTTCTTTATTTATTTATTTAAATTTGGTTTAATTGGATAATGAAAATATATAAGCAAAAATGAATATTGAATATATAACCTAAGCAATTCCAAATCCAATAATAGTTTCTATTTAAAAGAATTCTCTAGTATATTTCCCCAATAATACATAGAGGACTATTGTTTTCATAAATACTGCTAAGCCTTCTGCTTTAGCAATTACATTCAATTTTAATTAAATAACCCATTGAACAGCATATGGTTCAGAAGCTCCATCAATTACTAAATTTCAATATGAATAATTACCTGCAGAGATTCCATAAAGAAATGCTGTCTTGGCAAATGAAATACTTTGATTGTAACTCATTATAAAGACTGTGATTGGTGCAATACAGATTGTAATGAATAATCCAAAATACATTAGATTGATAGCTGATTATGTTTGCTCTTAATTAGGGTCCTTTAATCTTGAATATGTTTATTTCAACACAATCTTTAAATAGAAGAGAGTGATATTTGTCAATAAATCCAAATTAGTTGTGAGTCCTCTCTATATATCAATAAATGAACTTACCATAAATGCCTGGTTCTAAATCTCGTAAGACCAATATATTTAAAGTCAAATCAAATAATCTTGATAATATTTTTAAAGCAAATAACCAAGTTAATTGTTTGCCTGCTTTATTAATCATTTAATTATTTAATGGAGTACATCTAAAAAATGATAAGACCTTTTACAGATCGTTCTAATTACTACATGTAGCAACCTAACTCATTCAAGAGGAAAGAATCAAAACACACTCATGATCCATAATCAGTATTACTATATATCAAGCAGATCTTTTTCACTCTTCAAACACAATAGGTTTATTAAGTATTCTGATCATTTTAGAATGTAAACATGTCTTTTCTTAATCCAAATTATTTTTCAGATATTCAATCTGATCTCAATCCAGAAATGAGAGCTTAGATGGTATTCCATTCTTTATAACCTTAATAGATAGATGAAGTTCATAAGTTATGTACAGCACATAAGGCTTAAAGAAGAACTTTCCATCAAACCATTTATTTACTAGATGTTTATTTAAGTACAAATAGAATATTTACCGCTCAAATCGATTCTATATATAAGACATGTTATTTTATAGCTTCTAAATATGAAGAAGTATTTGATTAACATATACTAGATTTATCCAAGTCCATTGTGGAGATATACATATGATAGAGATGAAATGTAAGAGATATTTTAGATTGAAAAAGAATTATTATCTCTATTAGATTTTAAATTGGTTACAGCATCCTCTTATGTTTGGTTAAATTATTATTGGACCATAATTACAATAGCAGAGAAAACATAAAATTGGTTAACTTATTCCTTACTCTTGTTGGATGTTGCTCTTTATAATATCAATATCATTAAATATGAACCATCTAAAATTGCTTGTGCTTCTCTTTATACAAGTGCTATAATGTTAAATATATAAATGAATTGGAATAATTTTGCATCTTAATTTGGACTCCATTTCTAACATGAAATTAAAGTAATCATAAAATTTATAAAACTTAGGAAATATCTAATTTAATAATGATAACTTTAAAAGACAGTGTAAATTAAAAAAGAGAAATTGTTAAACATATGTAATTGTAGAAAGATAGAGAATTTTATTGAACTAACTTGTGTATTACTCTATATATAATTTTATTATAAATAAATATTTAAGATAAATAAAAAGAATTTAAAAAAAAATAATAATCAAATACATTAAGATTTTTATATCTTTAATTAAGTAAAAATATACAAAAAATAAATGATAATTATATCTTAAATTAATATATAAATTAAAATATTAATTCATCTTAATGGTGCTGTTTCATTTCCTTAAGTCATTATGATTTTCTCAATACTTGTAAAGGTGTTCCTATGTTAGGAAATGAAAAGTAATGATCTACTATCTCTTCCTCTAGTTTTTTCTCTATTTGAATCTTTTGTTGGTAATCTGATAATTTTAAGTTTCAAATAATTTTTAATTTTATAAAATCTTTCCAATATCCTTTATTTTTATTATTTTCTAAGTTTTAAGATTTTTCTCAAAGATGGAAATATTTTACAAATATTTGGAAAATTCATTAAAATGATTCCTCTAATTGGATCCAATTCTTCATCCAATCTCTTAAAGAAAGCAATGAATATTTTTTCAATGAATAATAGGATTAATTTAATGATCAAATATAGAATAAGGGTTATTAAAGAGATTTATAAATATTAATGTATATCTAAATTTTAAATTTAGTACAATAGTAAAGATAATAGTATAGTCATTGAAACATAATATGAAATAGTTTATTCCAAAACATTAAATTATGATTGGCGATAGGGTCTAAAAATTGTAAGTGATTAATAATATAGGATTATTATAATATATATTAAAATACCTTTGATTAAGATTTACTACTCCAAAAAATTGATTATCATTATAATTAATAATTTTTAAGCAATCTTAATAAGTTCCCAATAATAAGATTGATCACTATATTCATTAACCAAATATGATAATACACTTCTTGCATTTTTATTATACAAATTACCTTTATGATGATATAGATAATATAATAATAATAATGGAACCAATATTCCCAAAAAGGAAACTATTGGAATAATAAATTTGAATAACCAATTAGTGTGTACTTGAGTATTGTAATAATAATAAACAGATGCTTATATGTATTCATCTCCAGAAATTTCTCTTTTAGAAATTAAAGAAGTACCCCTAATTGAATAGTATATAGAAATACCAATTTAATATTGATTGTTGATTGTAAATGTAAAGATATATGATAGTGGTATAAATAAAGGTTTATGAAAACTTGGAAATCTTAGCCATTATAGAAATGCAATAGATAGCTGTTGACAAGGCAAAATTAAAGAAGGGAATAAGAAGAATCAAAATGAAATGACTATAAATAATTGGTATTTTAATGATTTGAGATGAAGTACAATCTATTTGATAAGTGACAAAACTAGAAGTTTCCCCTAGAAAATATAATGTATTTCTAAGATTTGTAAAGAAATCAATTTAAAAACTACTAATTACCATCAAAATTTAAAAGTAATTGTTGCTCATCTTAATTAATATACTAGTCTAATCTAAACTAAAAGTATATAAGGTTTGATATTTCAAATATATTAATTTTAATTAGGCTAATTTTTAAAGAGAATTATGAGTACTTTTAACTGTCATAATAATCAAAAAGGAAGACCTATAATAATATTAATGTAATTATACCATAATGATGAAATCAATAATAACATAATTTAAACACTAAGATGTCCACAAAAACTACATTATTTTTATCCAGAATTCAAAAAGTATCCATCTCCTCTAATATTATAAATATCACATTCTTCACAAAGTGCTCCAATACTACCAATAGAACAAGAAACTTCTCCTGGAAACCATCCACCCAAACATTTAGATGGATATTTTTAACATCTCTCAATTAAATCAGATCTTAAATGTGGTCTCCAATAAGATTGCTATAATTAAAGCATAGCTCCATTAGTTTAATTGATTAATTTAATATCAATTCTCTTACATGAAGTACTATTGTATGCTACTGAATAATATCCTGCAGATGCATCACATCTAAGACATGAACCTAAATAAAAATATTCACCTATTTGGCATTTCAAAGTTTCAATTGGAAATTGTAGATGATAATCATCAACAATACATGTACATTTAATATCAAGCATTATAGATTTTTAATCATCATATGGATTATGAACTATTAATAATTCATTCAAATCATAATTTTGTTTTGTTGAATTAAATACAATTATTTAATATTAAGATAATAAACTTTCTTTATAATCATTATCATTGTTTTCATATGATATTAGACATTAAGTTTCATCTAAAAATATAATCTCTTCTTTAATATGATTATAGGCCTTCAATTCAATTGAATATTAGATTGAACTAAATAATTTTGATGTATAATTAAAGAATTCATATTCTGACAATTTAATACCAGTTGGTAAATAGAGCTTTTGTTTTAAGATAGGATTATCAATTACTTTATCTCCTCTAATTTATCTATGATTAGTGATTTCTTGATTATTAATAATTAATTATAAGAATTATGGTTACTCTGCTAAATTATTGGCAAAACTTGTTGCTGAATTTTAAGAGAACTACAATTTGCTTTAATTCTATATTAATACATTTGATCCTAAATATATAGCACCTCCTGCTGATGCCTTATTTTCATAAAAGTAACAATCAAATAAATAAATATCTTTTTTACTCTCATAAAAGATTGCTCCTCCTGAATTTTTAGCAACATTTTATAAGAATAATGTATTCTTAATATAGAGTTGAATATTGTTAATAAAAATTGATCCTCCATAATTAGCAATATTATTAATAAATTTACTTTTTTTTATGATAACTACTTAATCATTAATACTTGAATTAGATAAGAGATTAAAGCATCCATTATAACCACAATTATTTTTATTTACAATTATGACTTAAAATCGTATTTTTGTTGTTTTATTCTTTGAATTTGTATTTAAGGATAAAATACCATTCTAACAATTTTAACAAGAGATATTGTAAAAATTCATATTATCAAATTAAGCTGAAATACAATTTCTGGATAAGATTAATTATACTATGGCTGTTTGTAGACTTTTATTACCATAAATATTGAAATTAGATAGATGCTCAATATAAACATATGTTGGTGTATCTTAACTTATATCTTATATAAATAATAAGTTTAAACTATCAAATATTGAATTGTACACATTTACTTTGTGTAATTTAAAAGATTTTGAATATTCAACATGTAAGATTGATTCATAAAAATATCCTTCAGCATTTAATCTTCTAATTGCTATTTATCTTCCTTAAATGGTAATTAATCCATATAGACCCTCTTAATTTGTCAAACCATAATGTTCTAAGTATTTTTTATAAGAATATTTCTCATTTATTATAGTGATGTTATCCAAATTTAAAGTCGAATTATTTTACTATTAATACATTTAATTGAATGAGATGATAGATTATTAAGAGGAGAATACATTAAAAAATTCAAGATTTCTTAGATTCATTACATTTTAATATATGGATGGTTTAACATATAGGAATCCTCCTATGTAATTTGAACTTGAATTAGTTACATGTATATCAATCATATTTAATTATAGGTATGAGTATTATGAATCAATATATAAGCATCCTCCCATTCCTTAAGCAAATAGACTTTTGAATGTTGAAGTATTCTCAAATTTTAATCCAATAATATTGAGAATTCCATTGAATTTTGTAATAATATAGAAGACTCCTCCATAATATCCAATTGAATTATAAAATTAAGAATCTCTTATTGTTAATTCTTGAACTTGTATATAGGCTAGACCACCATATGACATTTATTAAATATGAGAAATATCTACTTGTAATTTAACAGTTTCAAAATAAGATTCCAGATTATTTGTCATATTTGTAAAGCATAACTGAAAGTTTAATATTTTGGAGTTAATAAATAATAATGAATCAGTAGCATT